TTTGACTATTTCAGGGAAACTATGTGAGTGAAACAGACACACCTCTTTTTCCCGTTAGTTGAGAAAGCTAGTCACAAATTCGATTTAAGTAACATCGAAGTTGATGTTGCACCTTCTCATGAATAAGATAACCCTTTCAGATGTAAACAAAGAACGAATCTTTAAGGAAAACGTTGAACGATTCAACATTCGTAGGATAAGAACAAGAGTTAGATAGGTGTTATTTCGCGAAAGTCCACTAATACGATTATAACCAACCGAAACAGAAATTATGTCCTTGTCTGTGGACACCAGAAACTAAAAATTTATTGAGGAAATTAGCTTGTATTGGCCAGGACGAACAAAAATACCGAATCGCAAAGTGTTGGTGAAAGTGTCCGGCCCTCTTGGAAGGCCTTTCTCAAGTCGTTTAATCAGCTATTCTCACGCTACAAGCAATTATAAGGTGATGGGATGAGGACATAGTGTAGAACTCTGATGTAGTTCGTGCATGCGTGTGTGTTAGTGATCATTGGACCGGTAGTTGGGACGAGTGAAATTGGTTTCACCTTTAGGTCAAAACGTTTGTATTGGGCTTTTGGCATGGAAGTGAGGCGGGCACTAGACTATCGTTTGTTAATATGTGTCAGTTATTGCCATAACTGTGTAATGACTGACCCATCGGATTGATTGCTGTAGGTTCCGCTTTGTTCGGGAGCGCTTCGGTCACCAAATATTCCTTGTGACCTCTGAACCCACGCTTTAGAATATGTGTTATTTTGAAATCAAGCGGATATTCGTGATAACCAACAAAGAACACAGGACGGCTTCCTCGTCTTTTCTGGGACTCGTCAAAAGCATGTTTGTTTAGAAAATTTTGATTCACCCTGAGGATGATATTTCACAGTTATTTCCACCTCTTACTCTTAATAAGAGAATCCTAATGTTTGACTCACTGCATACAGGTTAGTTCAAAATGGAACAGAAGGTGAATTCAAAATACCCTTATCACCTACAAATCCGAAGAGTCATACAGATTGTAGCCCAGCGTGTTAAATAATCAGCCGCTTTCCCGTTGGTTTTCTCTTCATTGATTTTTGACTGATTCATTGGATGAGATGTATTCAAGATTTATTTTTACTTCCGTTTCAATTTAATGAATATGTACAGTCATATTCCAGAAAGGCAGCTGTGGCCATACAAAGGCTGCCTGGAGAATTACAGGAATAAGGAAGACAGGCGGTGGTGGAGCGGNTTCGAACCCGGGACTCCTGTGTCACAAGTTATCGACCCAACCACTAGACCACCACCGCCCCAAATATCGCCAAAGCAAGTATAATGGAAACTCCAAATATGCACTGAAGTGATCCTCTGATCCTTGTTACTTCACATTGGAATTTTCTAACAGATAAAATTTTCAATTCCTCTGGTGCCCTTTTCAAACACAAGAATAAATTGATTGTTCCACAAAAGACAACTCTTCACACTCATTTTAGGCATATTTACAGTAAGCAAAGTTAAAGCTCCCTGGATGGGTTTTATTTGGTGTACCTTCATTTACTCCTTTTACGGTCTAATTCTTCAAGTCGCATTTCCTCCACGATGAACTGTTTTTCTCCAGTTGTGCTAGTAATTTGGTTGCTCAATTGTGATGTTGAAATTATCACTTGTTATTTTCAAGAGAGTATCAACGCATCAGATTAGCGGCTAGACATTTATCAGTCAGTCTTAAGTGTATCTAGCCTACTGGACACAATATCAATTGCGTCTGTCACATCTGAGTCGAATATCAGTCAAACTAATTGAATGTCACGGATATTGGAATGAATTATCCTTCTATCCGAGTTCTCCCCGATTGATTTACAATCACGTTTACAAATGTTTGCAGGTCGTGTTTTCGGGTTGTCCTATAAATTCATTTTTGACATCATTCCTCCCCACTTCTGGTTCTGAAACTACAAAGATGAGGATAGTCAAGGTTTCTAATGTGGTCTATGAATGTAACAACTGGCAAAGGTTAACTGATTTCCCAATCAATAATGCCACGGTGGTTAGATAGTTATGTAGAATGTAGCGGTAGTAGTAGTAGTGATAGTGGTATTATTAATGTTTTAAATCCACAAGACAATGTCGGGAAGAAGAGCATTATTTATCACGAACAACGGTATCTGCATCAGTAAAGTGGCGTACGCGCAACAAAATGTCCCATTTTCAACCGGTCTTCTGAATTCAAACAAGAACACAAGATAATCAGTGAAGCGGTCCGACGGCGAAAACATATTTCCCGTAGTTACCCGTAGTTACACAGCAACTCACACGAAGAGGTATTGTCATTGTTGACCGTTGAGAGAAATGGCCTTTCTTTGCGAAATCCAAACATACTACTCAAAACAGTAGCAGTAGTAGTGGAATGTTTCATGTTGAACGCATTTCACTACACCGTCGTGCTTTGGTGGAAGAATGCAGTGAATGACTCCTAATTACGTCAATGAGAAAAAGCATCGATTATACGTGGATTAGATAGAATTCCGGGAAAAACAAATGGCAGAAAATCAAGGTAAAAATACCAAACTGAACCTAGGGTTTTTGAGTTCTGATGGAATTAAGAGAGAACGTCTAAATTACTCACTATCTCATTGTTTATTCCATATGCGATCCAGTCGATGTGAACTGTTAACTGAATCCATGCAATTCCAAATATCATACTCCGAGTTTTGGTCTAAATTCAACTATGATATATATCAGTTTTAGCCACGTTTAGAAAAACTCAAATGTGATCCCAAGTCAGAACGAAACTTCCCGTGTATTCTGTTTTTAATCGTCAACCAGATATTGTTAAACTTATAAAATCTCGTTTATACCTTGTTTACATGTCCTCTATGACCGCATATTTGGTACCTTCGGAAATGACTAAAAACAAGTGTTTTGAGTATTAGAAAATAATGATTCATAACCACAGACTTTTAGTCAAAATGGGTAACTACATAATCTCATTAGATTTCTCAAGATCCTCTGAATTTACGTTAGGCTTATTATTCTAATTATTGTATACTGCTTACGAGAATAATACGAGCAGAAATACGATTGTTGCGCGTTTCGCATTGGTCTCCGTATTGACCCTCTCCGTTTTATGTGAACCTTGTCAACACCTGTGAAAGGTGAAGAATAACTGTTGTATATCTTGTAGCCATTACCCAAAATTATTCTTTATCGACAGACTGATCAGTCTTACTGAAGGTGAAAGATTTAGAAGTAACAGTCTGCTATGAGCTATTGCAACCTCTGCAGGTGGATGAAGACAGCTACTCCCGAAATGGACGAGAGCACTGCAGGCGGTATTCATATCTTTTAGAGGATCACACTCTATTGTCGTCCAACCTCCTGTTCGTCAAATCGTAGTTTGTGAAACATATCACTTTGCTAAATGAACGCGATGGTGTACTTGAGTTCAATACGTATTTAGGTTTATTCATGAACGGAACGTCTGAATCAGTTGTTTTTCTTTTTTCATATTTTTCTCTCTCTCAAATTTGACTGGTTGCTTCCATAAAATAAGCGGGTTGAGCAAAAACGGTTCCTGGTAACCTAATACAGGTACCAGGTGCAGATGACCGACCAAGGAAAATATGAAGTGTCTTCCATTGTGTGAATATTGTTCAGTGATTGCAACTCATGGAACCAAATGCCATCACAGCCATGCAAAACTCACAAGTTATACGATGGTCTCTAAACTCGGACCGTAGGGATGGAACTCAGTCAATACCACTGCAGAGGGCGATGATTTTCCTGGACCACCAATGAGGTTTGAAGCAGTAGCACAGTGTTGATTGTTTGCGAGCTACCTTTGATGAGGACGCGTCTTTACTGTGTTTGAGTGATTTGTGGAAACCCAGCGTGGCAGACCTGTTATTTGCTACGAGTTACCAACGGCTGCATTGGAGGACTTTATTAAACTGGCGGGAGGGTTCTCCGCGTCGGTATGGCCAAACTGTTTCATCAAATAGTTTGTGCAAATGCAACTCTTATCGAACGCTGGTGTAAAACAATTCGAGAATGTGTAATGCTTATTTGTGTAACAAATAAAACGTTTGGTGCATACGGAAACGTTTTGCTCAGCCCTGATATGTTCATTTTATTTATCCTTCAAAAGACAGATTCCACCTCAACTTTAAATCATAAATTATTTGTGATATTAAAATTTCTGATTCTGTTATCATTAAGTCGACGAATTTTCCCAAAGTTGCATCAGATTGTCTGCTCAAGAACCAAAGTATTTCGTCCTTCATCATTAGACAATAAATATCTATTCGAAAATCTCCTCGCTTAAATACCCAAAGATAACCCCAAAACATCAAGAGCAAATTGAAGATATTGAAAACTTGACTACACCCCAGTTANAGTTAGTTGCCCCCGTTCACGAAAAATTTCACTGTTCATACCAGCCTAGTGTTTCGTTGAAACGTAATGCAATCTCACTACTGTTATGCATGGCAGCAACTAGCCACATTTTCACATTGCACCTGAAAATACGTATAAATCGGACAAGTTTGAACCACGCCCCTGGGTTCTTTTTACAAATGTTTTGTCTATGGAGCTTCATTGATCTTTGTTTTCAGTATTATATCGAGTAACATGGTTAACCATCTTCATCTTCCCCGTTTTATTGTATACCTGTAGCTAGCAGGAGTGTTTAATTGTCCTAAGCTTTATATACATAGAGTATAAATTATGAACAAGAGGTTGTTTGACCGACAGCTGGAAGACTAGTGTTGAATAAATTGGATTTGCAAAGTTAGATCACTTTCCCATCTTTCAATCCTTGAGCACGCGAATTAGCTACCATATGCACATCTGGTTTCAAATTATTACTTAATTATTTAGACACCAGAAACATGAAATTTCATCCAATAAAACATTTAATATGGAAAAATAAAAAATCATGTAGGATAGCTTAGGAATAGAATCGTTTATTTAAAAAAATGAAACCGAAAATTTAAGTTTCACCAGTGAGTGTATGGGTGTTAGCCACCTTGAAGCTTTCTGGCCAGAATGCGCCGAATGAAATCCAAATCATTGCTGATGTAAAGCCTGTCCAAATTTTTCTTCTCCATTTCCGAATGCTGTTGCTGTTCTCCGTCGTAGGTCATCTCTTCGGAACTCGGTAGATGTCGCGCGGTCACCGCGATGGACAAATTGTCAATCATACACAGTATTGCAAAGATACACAAGACAAAGTTCAACCAGAAGTTTATGGTTTTCGACGGCGACATGTTTCTAACCAGCACTGTCAATTCACCAGGTCAGTATGTTTTAGAAAGTTCTCACGTATTTATTGTCCACAGCAAAGTGAAGGTGAATTGTGATTGGTCAATAGGAGGAACAGCGTTTGATTGGCCTGTTTTCTGTTGTCCACGGAACTTGGCATTCTGAATTGGCGACATCGACTAATTTATTCCCTTCTGGTTGGTACGTGAGATTAGGTTACTTTAAAAAGTGGAACCATGATTGTTATCACGAAGTGGGTAACATGCTTTTCCGATGTGAAAGTAGGACTTCTTTAAGGACCGGCAGTTTTGAGTGCGTTTCCCCCGGCCATTTTGGTATCTACCAGTGAACGATATGTCTCCAGTTCGCTTTCGAACTTGTCTTCATGGACAATAACCTCCTAAAACCGATTATAAATTGCTTTCATTACAAACTCTTGTGAATTAGGGATAAAATTGTGAGAACGCGGATAACATCAGTCGAGTGTTGTGAAATGAAACACTTTGGGAAATGTGTTCAAAACGGGTCACCGGCGGAAATCTTAGCGAGATCAGATAAACCTATGGTGGGAATTAACTGGGGGTGATTTCCTCTGTCAAATGCGCTTACAACCCAAAGAATAGTTTTACTAAACAGAGTAATTTGCAATAAAGTAAACCTATTTTTAACTATTTCATAAAAAGTGAATTCATTTCCAGGGTGAAAAGTAAACATTTTGGTCAAAATTCTCAAACGTATAGATTTTTTACAGAGTTTCTCATCTATGTAATGCTTTTTATTAGGTGAAGACATTTATAAAAGGATTAATAAACGGTATGAAAACGCAGTACATTCGTGGTACGAAAAAACGGCCACTAACCAGTGAATTCGATCAGAGTCTTTTTCAAAATGAAAACCTCTCAAAGTGGACCAATAGTGTCCATTAGTGATGAGATGTCCGGTGGAAATGNCGAACATTTATTGCCCTGATCATCCAAATAGCAGCAAAGCTCTTCTACTTACGTGAATGATTCAAGAGCCGGGCAGGGGATAAACTGTTTAATACACGATGTGGATAAAATTAAAACGGGAAATCCCCATGGACAAATAGCATATTGTAGGGTAGGGGAACATTCACGTCAGATTCAGTTTATTGATTTTGTATTTAAAAAGTGCAAAATTGTAAGTTGGGAGAAAAACAGCAAGTGAGAGGGTGCTCCACAGTTTGGCAGATCGGGTAAAAAAGAAGATTGGAGCAGAGAGG